TTTTATTTTTCAATGAAATTAAAAGTGTTTGCAATTTGTTGTTTATTTAAATTTTATTGCTTGTTTTGAATTTTTTTCACCAAATGTTGCTAATAAATTATTTTTTTATTATTTTTATTTGCAATTGCAACGAAAATTACATCATCGTTAAAACAATTATCATTACAAGGTTGAATGATTAATTTTTATTATTAATTAAAAATTAAAATAGCATGACAATATGATTTAAATCAGCAAATCATGCTATTTTCATCGATGCCTGATTTCATTCTCTCTTTAGCAATGTAGTGATTATTTTAGTTATAATAATTTATTAGAAGGAACGTGTCAATTTCCTTGCCTTCCTTGCCTTAGTAAGTTGGCCATTAACGAACCTGGTATGTTGGTATCCTTGGTGGTGTTCTAAAAATTGGAATTCTTTATTAAAAAAGAAAGAAAGTTCTTTATTGAAAGAACATATATCCATAGGAAGCTATGAAAGTTTACCATGTTTCTATCAACATAAGAGTTCCTTACCAAAAAAGCCATTCTTCTTGATAAAGACTGAGTTGTTACAATATTTCACATATTGGATTAAAGTGAAATATACTGCAGAAAGTGCATTCAGCTCCTAACGAAATAGATGGTTCTCTGAAATCGTGGGCTCTAGACTATAAGGTGGGTGGAGTAAAATTTCCCATTAATTACACTCAGAAAAATGTTCACACATGAGCCAATATTTTTGTAACAAAATGATTAGAAATGAAAATATTCTTACTCAAAGCATCATGTCGGTTCAACCATTCCACATGTTGGTTCAACCATACCACACGTTGGTTTTTTATATCATCTTTACGAGATGAACTAAAATTTTTCTAACAAAATGATCAGGTTAATTTAACTAGTATGTGGTTAGAGCACTACCACATGTGGAATGGTTGAACCGACATGATGGTTTGAGTAAGAATATCTTCATTTCTAATCATTTTGTTACAAAAATATTGGTTCATGTGGTGAAGATGATATAAAAAACCAACATGTGGTATGGTTGAACCAACATGTGGAATGGTTGAACCGACATGATGCTTTGAGTAAGAATATTTTTACCTGAGATTTAGTTAAAATCTGGAAGATAGTTTATTACCGCTAAAATAATCATGTATAGAATCACTCAGAGCAGTACATTGCCGTCAAAGGTATTTAATTTTTTTGTCGATTTACTATTTCTGAAGCATTGAAACCACTTAAAACAATCTTTATGCTAAAGCACGGTCCCAATAAACTTCTTCCAGATGCTTAGCTTTAATAGCTCTTTTCTTGGAAACAAAATATTATAAAATTTGCGAAAAAACTATTTTCGCCAATTTTCAAAATTTTTCACAAGTTATTTTGTTTATTTTTAAATATGTAATACCAATTTGTTTTTCGAAGAAGAAATTTTATATTTCAGTTTATGTTATACAATACTTAACGATAGTAAACTGGAAAACAATAAACTTTAAATAAAATACAAATGTTACGATGTGTTCAGAATATTGAATTGAAATTTTAATGGTGCTTTAATGGATAACAGCAAACTGTTGGCATCACACCACAAAGTCTGTTTCTAAAAAGAATAATCTTTTACGATTACATGTAATTCGATTTAATTTTTAAATCAATATAATGTTTTACTAGCAACTATTTATCAATTTAAAAGCAAAAAAATGTTGAGAGAAATTTTTGAAATAATTTTTCCACACTACAATAGAAATGTGATAAAATCCTTAAATTGTCTAAAGTGTGTCAAATTGGACTTTTGCTTGAATCCTTTTATCCATGCTCATCTAAAGATATGCCAGTATTTATTATTGATGTATCAGTTGCCCAATATGAGCCCAAACGTGACCATCATAACAAATTTTAAATCTAAACACCATTTGGTTCTTTGGACAAGAATAAATAACTATACATATTTCTGTGTCATCTGAAATATTCAATAAAAAAACAGCGGCATGATAGATGGGTTAGAAATTTTCGAGAAGACAAAAGTAAAAACTGAAGGAATTTTAGATACTTTTTTTTCTTATGATTTAAACATTAACAAATTTCAAACAATAATAAAAAAACACAAAAACGTAGCAGTAATAAATTAAACTCTTTAAAGCCTATAATCATACTTAGTCTATTTATCATTCACATTAAATAATATTTAGTAATATAAAATAATGCCTAAAAGGCAACAGTTTTACTTCATAGAGAATATTACTTAGAAATTTTGAACATTGAAAATATTTGTCCAATTAAACGCATCGACACTTTTATTCAACATTCATTTTTTTCTTTTTTTTTGAATATATATGAGTATTTATTTAAGTACTATAGTATATATTTGAGTTAAGGAACGCTGGAAAATGAAAAGCAAGGATGTAAATGCAAAAATTATGCACAAAGCAAAAAAAAATTTGCAACATCAACGATGTACTCTTGTGCAGTTTACTTACACGTTTTTCAATTTCAACAAGCTTTCCAGTGGTTTGTGAAAGTGGCAATGTTTTATAAAACCTAGGAACTAGAATTGATATTTTATGTTAAATAACTGCACATAGTGGTTTTAATGACAATAAAGTGACTGAGGAACTGTGTGGGAACTAATGTGGGAAGAGCTTAATGTATTAATCTATTTTTTTTCCAAAATAGTTTAAAATTCCAAATTTCAAAAATTTTAAACAGATCGAATATAAAAATAATGACTGGTCACTGCCTATCAAATGATCAGAAATCGACGCTTGCTGATTATAGTATGTATGAAATACACAGAACCATTTCCACAGATACGTAGAGAGAGAAGATTCTTCACAAAGAATAATGGTTAAACTCAGAAATATCCAGAAATGATTAATACTTTTCGGATATAGTTGGAGTGAAAGAATCCTTTACTGATTTTAGAAAAGGCAAGACGCAATAGTTCAAAAATGTACATAGTATTACGGACAGCAAATGTTTGAACCCGTATGATAACTATAAATATAAGTACATGTTCTAAATTTCAAAACCGTAAATATATTAGTAACACCATTTTGTAAATAATGGTATGCAGAAATTTGTCTGGCTGGGACATATCCTGCTTAAACTGATTAGTGAAATTATACACTCAGCATTAGAATGGAATCCACAAGTTAGAATAAATCGTGCACTGCCAAAAATTACATAGAGAAGATCGATAAATATTGGAACTAACAAATCATTCATTAGAGCATATTAGGGGTGTCTGTAAATGGTGAAATTACCTTTTTAGTTCTTAGTTATGGGTTGAGTATGGGGACTGTAAGGTGTATATAGTATTGATATCGCTTGCATAAATTTTTATGCAATTATTTTATATTAACATATATATAAAATAAAAACATTTCTTGTCAATTCCAATAACTTTACGATAAAATGTGCTATTATGTCAACGCGATGTTATTGTCTATACGATAAAAGTTGTATACAATCAACAAAATATTAAATTTTGCTTATCTTGTTTTTAATTATGTTGAACTGATTTACCTACACTATGAACTCATATAAATATTGAAACTAGTTATATCCAATTTTAAGGCAAATGAAGTATTTATAAATAAATTTTAATATAAAATTTATTCATAACAATAAAGATTGCACTATAGGTATTGCACTCTATAATATCTTTCTTATCAATTTCTAACAAATAAAGCACACCCAATACGAAAAAATTACTCGTTAGAATGATTTTTATTTTAGTAGATTTTTCCACACTACATATTTCTTAGTTCAAGTATCATCATTTAGCTTTTTCTTTTATATTTTTCCTCATAAAATTTGTTAAATAAAAGAAAATTTTATAAAAATAAAGGGTTCATTTATCAACTTAAAATATTCTGCGTTGTTTTAGTTTTTCAGTAAATTGAATAAAGCACTTACTGACGATGATATAAAACATTCTGTGAATGTGACTCAAGAGAAATAAATATTTTTTCATCAAAAGGGTCCAAAAAAAAGGGAACGAAACCCTTATTCAATTTAATTATATTTGTTTTTTATTTAATGTTTATTTTTTGTAAAATTTTCACATAAGTGAATCAAGTATTATTTTAAAAGTTTCTTGTAAAAATAATAAATGTCAAGGTTAAATATCAACTATGTTCGTGTTATTAAACTGCTAATATCAGCAGTTGTTTAGTGAAAATTTATAAAATTGTTCCCACACTTTGTTATAATTAGGAAACCATGACTTATATTAATAGCTTAAATATATATTATTATTTATTTTGTGCAAAAAAAATTGTTTACAGCAATTGATAATTGTTGATTTTACATATAAAAGAAATTTGATAAAAAAAATACACGAAAGTAGTATCTAAGAGAGTAACACTTCAGAGCTACTATTGGGACCTTAGTCTCCACTAAAAGGAAAGAAAAACTAGGTATAAGTATCGGGCGTTTTTTTAGTTGTATGAGAACTT